AAGAACAGTACCTTTAGTCACATGAGTGACAACTAAACACAACACTGAAAATTTAAAAAAAAAACAAAATGGCATATAATTAATATACCTAAGTAAGCTGCTAGAGTGTCATGTGTGTGTAGAGTGTGTGTGTGTGTGTGTGTGTGTGTGTGTGTGTGTGTGTGTGTGTGTGTATCTCTTTGTGTACCTAGAAGTAACTCATTTTGTCAGCACCCTTCACATTTTACCCTGTCTTTAAAAGGAGCCTTTGCATGTAAATTCTTTCTTTTCCTTAAACAGTCATTAGCCATAGCACAGCAACATTTTAAAAAATATGGTGATTGTCTCCAAGTTTTTACTAAATTGAATGATGGTTCAATTTCCCACTGTCGAGGAGAAAAGTGATTGTCCTGAGGACATCTTGGACAGTGTTTTTATCATGGATGAATACGACCCGGTGGAATCAGGTGCTCGTCAATTTTTAGGCATGTGGAGTATTGGTATCATCTAAACCCTTTATTCATTTGTCTTGCTTTCTAAAAAAAAAATACCCATCTATTATTGAAGGAGTGGGGTCACTTTTTGTTCCAGTGGTAAAATTAGCAATAAAATGGCCGCCAAAGTTCTGTAATTTTGATATTTTGAGAGTCCTTGAAAACTTAAAAATTACATTTTGTGCATTTTATAAAAATCACTGTGTAAATTCCACTTCCAGACAAATTCACACGGACATGTGTTTTTATGTGAACAAAAAAGGAGTTGAGCCAAAAATAAAAAATTCGATAAAAACTGCCAAAGCTGGTGGGAAATGCCTGTTTCTTCGATGTTATTATTTTGACGAGCGCCTGATTCTTTCACCACGAGGTCTCATAGCCAGCCTAGAAAAAAATGCAAGAGGGAGGAAATGGGTAGTAGTCATTCTACAGAGGTGATTGTCTTTCACAGGTGGCTACATAAGAAATTACATCACATTATAACAACTTTGCGATGGCATGACCTTGTAAAGGACATTACATTTTTATGGAGTGTCTACGTACACGGTGACCGGGCACGTAGTCTCGGTATCTACGTACATGGTAACCGGGCACCTAGTCTCAGTATCTTCTAAGACAGTCTACATACACGGTAACCGGAATGAAAATAAATTGACAATATTTGTCCTGTGATGTCATCTGTTCCAAAAAAGAAAGTCATATAAAAGCGTCTTGTCGGGTTCGCCACCGTGACTGGTCAGTGAACCTGTATTTTCACGTCACATAATGAGTACCAGTTGGGGTCACCAGAGTTCATTCAAAGTCTGTGCGCTGCGAAGTAGATCTATAGGGCTCCAGAATGGGGGGATTATTGATTTTTTTAAAAGGTACAGTCGGGGGCGGGTTGGGGTTGAAGGCAATACCGGATGACAAAAACTGAACTGCCCGACCGTGTGTACGTGACACAGACTACATGCCCAGTTGCCGGTTACCGTGTACGTAGATATTGAGGCTACATGCCAGGTTACCATACGTGATATTGACTGAGACTAGGCTACATGCCCGGTTGCCGGTTACCGTGTACGTAGACACTGAGGCTAGGAGCCCGGTTACTGTGTATGTAGACACTCCGAAATTTTTATTAACGTTTTTCAAAATTCCATGCACTGTAACCTAAAAATAGCGGTGCTCATTGGCTGGATCGTTTAAGTTTGGTTCAGTTCTGTCAGTTCGGTTATGGAGGGCTAACCAGATTTTCCTCCATGACTGATAATAACGATGATGACCTTCATTGCCTTCAATATAAAACGAACACATTTTTTTTTTGGCCAGCACTATTTCTCCGAACGTTCGGGAAAATAAAGCAAGGCACTATTTCTCCGAACGTTCGGGAAAATAAAGCTGGGCACTATTTCTCCGAACACTCTGAAATCACATCCTTTCCCGCAAATTTCAGATATTATATAGATCTATAATTATAGTATAGGCCTACCAAAGATTGTTCGTATACAATATGGTTCAATCTGTCCAAAAAATGTCCGCAGTAAATATTTATATAAAGAAATGCTACAGTTCCGAACAGTTTTTCGCTAGAGATATGCCTATGAAGGGTGCTGCTCTTAAACTTAATGTGTTGTGTTCACTCGTGTGCTGTCTAGATCTAGATCTAGATCTACAGAGGGTTAATGATAACAACACATAGAACTAGCATCTGCGTTTGTGGCAGGCTGCCACCAATCAATTGTGGCTCGATTTTTTGGCATTTTTTGGTCCCCGAATCGGGGAAAAAAATTCAAATTTAAAAGAATAATTTAAAAAAGAAAAAAACCGAACCTCTTTACTTTTGAAAGTAAGTTCACCAAGCTCCACTTCGTCTCTTTCTCACTTGTTGTCACCACGTTTATTTGTTGAATACGTTACAGTTACTTTTATTTTTTCCTCTTTGTGGTGTAGTTTTATTTTGTTAGTGTGTATTTTTTTCTTTCTTGTTATTGTTCTGATGTGTTGTTTTTCTATCATTTTTTTGGGGGGGGGGAAAAAAGGGGAGCCGGGGGGGGATGTTGTATAGTGTAACATCATTTAATTTGATGGTCCTACGACCTTCATTAGATTCTAAATATATACATGTATATAGATTTAAATGTGTTATGTTTGAGCGTACGTTCCACCAAAATCGATTACATGTACGGACACTGGCAGGCCCCTTAATGTGTGTGATTCCATAATTTACATGTAATATATCCTGTACTTTGTTTTAAAATTACGCACATTAAGTAGTTAAAACAGCCAATCTTCTTCAGACAGGTGGACTCACGCCCTTATTTGTTAATTTTTGTGGTTGTTTATGGGCTGTTCTAATTTTGATTTCATTCGGCTGTGAAACTTTTCTTTTTCACGTTTTTACACTCATCTAAAAATCTCTACACTAGCTCTTGAAAATTGAAATAGATATAGATCTAGACCTAAAAATTTGCTCCTGTGTGTGTGTGTGTGTGTGTGTGTGTGTGTGTGTGTGTGTGTGTGTGTGTGCATGTGTGAGTGTGTCTTTGTGTGGTAGTAAGTGTGTAGGTGGAGAGTGAGGAGCGCGTGTGTGTTTGTTTTTCGGGCTTTATTTCAGCCTTTATTCAGTAACAGTTCAAAGTATACAAAAATAGAAACACATGATCCATTCACTCCAGGGCTCATGAGTCGTTCCTCTCTTTCAGTTTCACTCATTCATTCAATTCCCGTGTTCTCTCTCGCGGCTCATCTCCGTCTGCATGACTTCCACATCCCCCCCCCCTCCAGGCACACACAAAGAAAATCTCACTCATTCCCTTGCCACCCTGCGAACCATGGACAATAATATTAGCAAAACACTGCCTTAGCCGCATTCCTTTCGTTCGTGAGCTGTGGACCAGACCAGGGGGGTCGGTGTCGTCTTGTAGTTGCTGTCGCCTGTGGATACACTTGTACATTCTTCCATTCACCTGCTCTGTCACTCACACAGTCTCTCCATCCACAGCTCAGCTCGCCATACGTTCAAAAGTTGTCCACTGATCATGTTTAGTTAGTGTGTGTATAAGTTTGTGTGTGTACATGTGCATGATGGTGGTGGGTGTGTGGTGGGTGTTACAGAAGGTTGTCTGTAGGCGGGCTTGCCATGCGGTGTTCCTTCCCAGTTCCCAGACCAGAGGCAGAATGAAAGTTGGCGCCGAACTCTAGCAATAAATAGGCAAAAAATCACGAGACCGGAAGCCGGAAACCGTTCGGAGAAATAAAGATCGGCACTATTTCTCTGAACGTTCGGAGAAATAGTCACTTCGTTTTTTTTATTTCAAGGCCGTACATCGGGCAATCAGTTTGCGGGCAGTTGGTCTATTATTGTGTGCACTGAAGCCCCCAGAAACTGAACGGCACTGATCCTCCAATGGGCACCGCCTGAGAAACGACTAATCAAAAAAATTAAGATTTCTCATGTGTGCGAATCAGAACCCATTGAAAGCAAGATTTTAGATTATATTATACGGAGACAGTTAGGTAAAAATAAACTATCACAGGTACTTACTCTTTCACAACGAAGAAAGGGTCCTCAACAGACATCTTTGCCGAAGGAAAATCTCACAAAAAATGATAAAATAAGTCGCACCTTTCTACTAGACTACTGACAGTCTACACATCTACACTCGACAGGTCATGATGATGCATTCAACAGCTAAGCTGATGAGGCGATTGTCCTGTCATCTCTAGTTGTAAAACTAGATGTAGATTCTAGATCTAGATAGCTATGTGTTATTAAATGTTATATTTCTGGAACAAACTTAAACTCTTGAAAGTGAAAAGACAATTTGCCTGCCCTGTCGAGCACCCTCGCTTTCTAGCCTAAAAATGAAAATCTCTCGCAAGCAGACTCTAGACTCTAGGCTGGGACAAACATCAACAAGGCAGGGAAAAAACAAAAAAACTAAAGCCTGAAGACTCTGTGTGTTTTGACTTGAAAAATTGTCAGTAGACCACACAGACAAGACAGCACTCTGTGTCAGTGTGTCAGTGATGGTGGGGAAACCGACAAGAAGGCTATGCCGAAGCCGAAATAGCGAGTTGTCCTACTCTAAAATCCTGATCTGTAAATCTTGAGTAAAAATACAACCGTTAGGGACCCACTCCTTTCAGTCCCAAACAGAAAAGTACGCAATTCTTAACTCAACGGCTCAGAACACCACAATAATTTAAGTCTCAACCTCTAGATCTATGTATACACACACACAGGAAACAGTAATGTGACCACCATTTTCATTCTTGCTGTGTGTCATTCAGGACAGGGGAAACCTCCATCGATTGGTATTTTAATATTGTAGATTATAAACTTTGACGCATTTCCGGCTATTTTCGGAACACACTAGGAATATTTCACAAAATTTGAGTCAAATGACAGGTAGGAATGCCACATCGTCTAAAGCTTGATGGATCCGGTATTTTTATTTTAATTTAGATTAATTTTGCGTTCTACAGAGAGCACATTTTAAAGTAAGTTTTTCACAGTGCACAAAGATTGGCTGCCATGATAGTGAATATTCTAGGAGTACAAGTTTACGGGAACCTCCAGCAGTGGTTTCCCTACTTTCTATTTTAGGCTGGGGTCGTCACAAAATTAATTCGCTTTGTTTTGTAGGCCTATCATATCTTTTTGCTCTAGGCCTAGACTACATGATGAATTAGCCCCAAAAAAGCAGAGTAAGATCAAGAATGACTTACAAAAGCACTTGAACTGAGAAGTGGGAAGAGACCAGGGTGATTAAATAGCTTTTGAGGGCCTCAGATAATCCGAAATCCGAGCTCACGAATTAGTAGAGAGGCAAAACATTGTTGTTGATGCCTGTGTTTCAGTCACACCGTACCGGTATACGTGTATATACAATGTATATATGTATATATATATATATAATATA